TATATAATAGGGCCATAAGAGCTATGGAGGAACTGTGAGTCGGGTAAAGTGGACAGAGTGGATACACTTCTAAACAACAATGAGGGACACCTTACCAAGAAGGTGACATTGGAGCCAAAACCGGAAGGACGGAGGGAGAGGGTCCTGTGGGCATCTGAACCAAGAATGTTCTCAGCAGAGAGAACAGCAAATGCAAAAGCCCTAGCATGGGTGAGGAAGACCAAGGAAGCCAGTGTGGCTGGAATGGAGAGTGTGTGTATATTGTGGGAACAGCCAGAGATGAGAAGGGAGCTGATCAGTTGGTGCCTGTGGCCCTGGGGAGGACTCTTAACTCATACTGGGGGTGGGATGGGAGCCACAGGAAGCTTCTGAGCAGAGCAGGGACTGGAGCCGATTCATAGATTCACAGGGTCACTCTGGCTGCAGGTAGGGAAGGGCACAGACATCATTGAGGGGGCTGGGCTGCTGCTAATCTGAGGTAAGAGTGGATGGTGGACAGGTTGTTGAGAAGTAGATAGGTTCTTTTTCCTTGCTAGTCTTCTCCAGTCTTGTCTCCACCCACCTCCTTTTCTCTTTCTCTTTTTGGTTACGAGATTGAGCCCAGCACCTTGTGCATTCTAGGCAAGTGCTCTACCACTGAGCTGTATCCCTATATCCATCCCCAACCCTTTATTTTACTTTGAGCCAGAGTCTTGCTGAGTGCCCCAGGCTGGACTTGAATTCATGATCCTCCTTCCTCAGCCTCCTGAATCACTGGGATTACAGTCAGTGAGATTACAGGCACAGACCGCCATGCCCAGCTTGTCCCCTCTTGATGCAGCCATTGGGTCTTTCTGAAACACAATTTGTTTCCTGTTCCTCCCTGTTTAAAACTACCCATTTCTCCCAGGGTCCATTGGACACACCTGAAGCTGCTCAGCCTGGCATTTGACCCTGTGCAGGAATGGTTCCTGCCAGCCTCCCCAGCCTCACCGTGTTCCTCTCCCCACCCCTTAGCTGCTTCAGCCACATTGAATTCATTTTGTTTCTCTGACTCTTTTTTTCATGCTGTGCCCTTTGCCTGGAACACCACTCCTTCCCTTTTGCCCTGGTGAGCACCTCCCCTCTCAGAAAGCCTTGTTTCATTTTCTATGCTTGATCCAAACTCCTTGACAGGCTTGCAGTACCCTGCAGAGTTTGGTCCTGTCCCCATCTCTGTGGGTATGTGTGTGTCTTGCCAATTCTCCCCTTTGTACTTCATGCCCAGCCCCCTTCCATCTCCAGGGTGGCTGGGGGAAATGTTAGACTTTGGATCTGCTTTTTGTTTTTATTTTTGTGGTATGTGGATGGTATCAGGACCTCACACATGCTAGGTAAGTGCTCTAGCACTAAGCCCCATTTGTAGCCCTTTGAACCCACTTTGAAGGTAGAACCACTTTGTTTCCTGATGGAATGAATATGGAATTTGAGTGAGGGTGGGGGAGGGAGAGACAGAGAGGAGAGACAAGGATGAGATCTTTGGACAGTGCTATCTTATCCTTCCAGGCCTTTACCTGCTGTGCCTGGGCCTCAGTTTCCTTATCTGTAAACTTAGTCCAGGAGTTTGAGAGCAGCCTGGGCAATTAGTAACATAGTAAGACCCTATCTCAAAAAAAAAAAAAAAGACTATTTATCATAGGGCTGTTCCTTATTTTTCTTCTTATCCTTCTTAAGGAGTCTGGGCTGTGCAGAGGTGTATGGGAATATATTATTCACCTTGGGGCTTAGCATATTTTCTTTCAGGATTTGCTCTCAGTGGATCAGATGCAATAAGCAATACTTTCACAAACTTTGTTGGCAGCCATTTTATATGTTGATCTAATACAGTCACACCCACATATAAAACTCCAGCTCATGTTTGCCTGCTATCAGTATTTTTTTTAGTTGAGGTTAAACCCACATAACATAAATTTAGGCATTTCAAAGTGTACAGTTCATTGGCATTCAGTACATTCACAAGGTTGAGCAACCACCTCCTCTTGTCTAGTTGCAGAACATGTTCATTATCCTGAAAGGAAACTGCACACCCGTTAAGCAGTCATTCCCCATTCCTTTAGCCCCTGGCAACCACAATCTGCTTTCTGTTCCTATTGATCAGTATTCTTACTTCATATGATGTACTCCTATGTTTTCTACTTTATTTCTATTTGAATAAAAAATAGTAAAGTCCTACCAAATTAATTCCCCCTTACATGCAGTGCTGATATTGGAATCATCTGGAGAGCTTTAAAAGATACCGATTCCCAGGCCTTACCCCAGAGATTCTGAAGTAATTTCAGAATTTCTAGAAGCTGCTAGGTAATGTTATGAACAGCCAAAGCAAAACCCACTAATCTAATATGTCTCTTAGTTTTGGAAACATTAGAATGAGGCCTAAAGCCAGGATGATCAGGGATGTTAAGGGGATAGAAATACAGAAATAGGGACATGATATTTAGACACTGAAATGTCCCGTTACAGCTTTCTGATGAAAACAAACAAGGAGGTACAGGTGTCTTCAGAGAGAGAGAACTCAGAATGACCTGCAGAGGAGAAAGACACCCTTGGTGGGGGAGTGGTATGGGCCACCAGATACAGGTGGGAAGTCAGGAAGATATCCAGGAATGAGAGAGACACAAGCTGGAGAGACCCAGGGCCTCTCTAGATCATCACACCCTTCTCTTACAGCTCACCTGTTCTCCAGGACCAGCCCTGCCCTTCCGGCTGGGGCCTAGACCCAGGCCCCAGGAGGCCGTGCCCCAACTGCCCCAGCCCTGGAGAAGCTGCCCCGCCACCTGTCCTCCTTCCCTGGCCTGGTGGGGCCTGGCTTTGGGGCAAGACTGAGCCACGGGGGAAGGGGGAACCCATACCTGCTGCTGCTTCCTCTGTCTTGGCTAACCTCTGCCCCCCACCCCCCAGCCCCTAACCATACCCCAAGAGCTCCCAAAGCCTGAGACCAGGGCCATTTGGCCCCAACTTCCTGCCTGGCCCTGCTGTTGCGAGTACGTGTTATTTATTACCTGGAGGCCTGTCCCATCCCCATCCTACCCCCATAAAGCATTGTTTACACCTGTGTCTTGGCCTCTGTCATTTTGGGATGTTGGGAAGAGGTCTTGTTGGAAGAATTTTGGGTTGTGATTTTGGGAGCCATGTCTCTGGGTTGGACATGGTGTGGGATACACTGCTTGCACCATGGCTTAGATGTTCCTTGTGGAGGGAGTTTGTCATGGCATACTTTGTGATAGTGCTTGAGCATCACGTGTGTAACACTAATGTTGCTGTGATTGTGATGTGTGAGTGAGTCCTGTGTGGAGGACAGCGTCTTTGGAATGTGTGACACTGTTGCTTGTGAGTATTCTGTATCTTTGGTGATTATATAGGTGAAGTTGGTATGAGAAACCAAGGCCAAGGTAGGGGAATTGGGGCCTATGAGTGCACCCTGGGTGTGTGCCTGGTTTTATATATGAATGCTCGAGGCCTGAAAGTTGGAGGCAGTGACTCACTGTTCTGTTCCTTGCCACATGAAGTCTTGAGTGTGTTTTGGTGTGAATTTAGTTTCTCTTATACACCGTGTGTGTGTATCTGAGGACCGTGGACCTTTGTGCAACCCTGACTCATAAGCATACTTGATATGGGTGTGTATCGCCCCCCCCCCCCC